CGACGGGCCAAGCTAGCGCGGAACGCGTTTCTCCGCAGCCACCCCACGTGCCTACATCCGGGTCTCTGAGGAGCGCTGAACCCCTCCCCTCGCCCGCAGGGGGCGTTTCCCGCCCTTTCTACGGCCGTCGTGTGAGGGGAAGGGTGTGGCGGAGGGCCGGGGTCTGCGGCGGGCCCTGAAGTGCGTCATTGGGGGGGCTCAGCTCAGAGGTACCCATGGGCCCAGGGGAGGCAGCAGAGCCTGGGACAGAGGGGTGTACGTGGGAGAAACAGGCACCCCGGAGCGGGGCCACCTGAGGGAGCTACAGCCGGCAGCCGTGGGCATGCGTGACTGGCCTGCTGGGCGCTGCCCTCGGTGGGCTTCCCCGTGGGGCCTTCAGACGGTGCAAAGCGGGGCGCGAAGCGCTGGGAGCTGCAGCCAGCCCCGCCACGGTCACAGCAGAGCTGAGGAGCTGCCTCTTCCTCGTCCCCAGGAGGACAAAGGCATTTTTGTGGGGCAACGTGCAGCCTCCGAAAGTTGCTCAGATCAGAGAGCAGAGCTGCATTTGTGGCGCTTTGGGGTGGCGAAGCCATTGCGTACCTGGGTGCCTCCCTGTGCGCACTACTCTCTTTCCAGAGGCCCCCACACAGCGTTTTCCTGTAAAATGCTGCTCTGCCAGTGCCAGCATGGGCAGAGGCAAATTTTGAGACCCATGCCTGGTTTCTTCTGTGTTTCTTAGGGCTACATCTTTACAGATGTCCAGCTGCTTACCGCTTGCTCAAACTTGTTGCTATCTACAAAATGTAATTTCTAACTTCTAATTTCTGTTAGTTAGGGTGTTTTGTCCAATTAGAGTCAATTAATTTGTGGTGGCGTCAGGTCATACCAGTTGCTGCAAAGGGACAGAGGACATTCGAGGTGCACCTGATTGGATCCAGCTTTCAAAAACATCAAGGTGTTTATGCTACTAAAAAGGAAAGAGTAATGTCATCGGGGGGATTTTGAAACACATAGGAAATCTGTAATGTTTCCTCTTAAATTATTCTGGAGAAAATGCAGTGTAACGTTTTTTAACTTAGAACACATATTGCACTGTTTGTTTTTTTCCTGCTAGTGTTTGGAAGAGCGATACATGCCATAGCACGTATTAGTGATGAATTCTGGTTTGACCCCGTAGAAAAAGGTGTAAGTGAATTTGATTTATTGTAATTTAAAAATCTTTCTTGGAAGCATAGTATTTATGTTGTTGCATATTGTGTTGTTTTCCTACAGTTTTTACCATTCACTCTCGAGTTACCTTCTCTCTCAGCTTCCTCCACTTTCAACATGGAAAAATGCCATATTTCTGTAATTGTAATTACACAGATTACATCATGGAAGATTCATTCCTACTCTGCCCCTAATATTCTTCGATTTTTTGTTACCCAAGCTGAAGCTTGTCCAGGACATCCGGGTTAATACCACGGGTTTTATTTCTATTGTCATGGGTCAAAATGTTTATGTTTCGTACCACATCAGAAGCTGCCTCTAAACAACATGTTTTTGTACTGGTATGATTCAACAGGAAGAATGCAGCCATTAATATGCCTCCGATTAATCAAACACCATTTCCAGCAGAATTAGGGGTTTCTCCAGAGGTTTCTTAGTTAAAAGTGCTCAACTCTGCTTAACTTGCTGGGAAGCTGGAAAATCAGAAGTGGCGATCATTTCTTTTTATACCTGAAGAATTTTTGAGGTGCTAGTAATGTCTTCGCTCATCTGTGCGTATCATGTGGATGGGTGTAGAGGAAGATTGTTTTAGAATAAACGCCAGTCCTTCAAATGCCTCAAATGCATGCTGAGCTTTAAGTGGTTAGGTAACTCACACTTCAAGACCACTTAAATGTCCGTAGATTGGATTCCTATGCCTGTATTATCCCAGTGACCTCTGACCACTGATAATGAAGGTGATAAGTTTGAACACGTTTATATGCATGATGCATCCATATTTATTTTGAGATGTACACATTTAAAGGTTTTGTGGCTTAGGTACGGTACCAAAGCACAGAGATGGCTTTTATAAATCATTTTACTTATATTTTCAGCTTGCCTTAAGATCAGTGAATTCTTCAAGGTCAGCATATGCATATGTCTTCTTCTCATCTATGTTTTTTCAACATTACTGCTGGACAGCCATGTCTCAACCACATCAGAAGGAAAAACAGTTATCCCTTCCATGTAAATTGATAATAAAGGTACATTTTAATGCATTGTTATGCACAGCTTTGGAAGCAGCACATTAGCCCAATTTCCAAATGAAATTATAGGGGGAGGCTCATACAGGCATGTGGATGGCTCTAAACTCAAGCACTTCTGAGCAATTCTGCAAAAGAGAACGTTAGTATTAATTATGTTTCGAAGGTGTTCCTCCTGAGCTGTGCCCTGCGGTTCCCGAAGGCTGAACCAGCTTAATCTTGGGTTGAAGGAGTACCACATTTCTGCCTCTGGAGTGTTTCTCCTGTAGCCTTCAAAGGCAGTCTGAGCCAGGAGAGCTTTGAGCAGTTGTTTAGCAAACAAGTCTGTTGGCCATATATTGGAATAGTGGGTGAGGATGGCTAGGATCAGTATTGGCTCCCTGCATCTGCTTACAAAGCCGTTTGGGGAAGCCATAAAAGCAGGAGCTTGAGATAAACTGTACAAAACTGGGGAAGTACATTGCAAAATTGCTTGGTGAGTAACCTCTGCACTGATTTTTTTTTTTTTTTTTTTTTTTTTTTTTTTTTACAGTCAGTTCTTCCTGTATTTAGATGTGTAAATGTGCTGGAAAGGAATGTAGAGAAATGCAGCATTTATACAAATATTAATGATCATCACATAACTTTTCAGCTCCTCTGCAAACATGGTAGGTTACAACTAAAGTGACTTTACAGAAACAGTTTAAAACAATGGGGCAACATAATATTTAGTGTAATTATTAACTGAATGTTGTTGATGGAACGTTATGCCAAACACTTTCAGCCTCTTCACATCATAATTCTACTTATCATGTGCATCACCTTGTAAAAATAAAGTTATAACAGGATTTATCAGATGAACGTTCTTCAGTTCACTAGTTAATGCATGCTATGTATTAGTTGTCAGCCTACTGCTTACAACGTTTAGAAATAGGCTAGAGTAAATTCTGAAAAAATACACTTTATGGAAAGGGAGGAAAATTCTGTTTTGCCAAGTGTTTGAACTAGAGGATTTACTGGGTCTTTCCACCGCTAATACTCACCGTTCTTCAACACGGTCATGTGTCTGACATCCTCAGTCCAGCAGAACACAGGTATATTCATCGGCATTAATCTTTGCAAACTCATACAGAACCATCATCTGTCAGTATAGCTTGCTGAGCTGTGCTGTGTAATAGGCAGTGGATTACATTATCAAAAATCTAGCTTGTATTAAGAATAATGAGATAATATATTGCATTAGGTCTCAAAGAGAATTAAGCTCTCAGCTCATGCTTATCTAGAAATACATAGAGATCTGTAGGGTTTGCCTTTTGTATTCCACCACCATTTATATTATTATACCAGTTAATATTGAAGCCTTTTCCCCCCCACCCCTGCATTTGTTGCACTTGTTGCTATTCATTTATTTCTGGTGGATTCTTAAAAAAACTCAGATGCTCGAGAGGCATAACTAATAGGATGAAGGAAGTCTTAGATGGCATGTTAATTCAGTTTGCTCTTTGTGAATGAGTTATTTCCACATAGCTAGAGTAAGTCGCTTGGTTACTTTCTCTATTGAGACTTCCTAAAAGAACGATTAATACTGAAAAAAACATTTAAAATTACAAACTAGCATTGATTCCTGTTCATATGCTTTATATTTAGGTGTTGTAAAAACATACAATCTGACATTTCAAGAATGTGATCCATTGCAGGCTGTTTTTGCAAAGCACATGTGTCCAAACATACTTAAAGTCCACTCCAGGTAATGAATATAAAGATTTTTTTTTCTGTGGGGGGAAAAATAAAATAATACAGGAAGCAATACAGTTCTCATAGTCATTAACATAACCAAAATCTGATTAGGGCACAGTCAAAAAATGGCAAACTCCTGAATCCTGTATCCTAGTGCTTCATTTTTCGCATTACAACTTCAGAAACTTGGAGCGCTCTACCATTAATCCTACTCGGTCTAACCTTGAGAAGTGTGTAATGTACAATCTGAATTCACACCTTTGAGCAGCTTCCACCTATGACAAATGAAGTAGTGCTTTAATTTCACAGGCAAAGAATCCAGCGTAAAAGTACATTTTTTAAAATGTAAGGCAAAGTTCTGCTTTGAAAAGCAGCCCCTGGAAAATTCCAGGATTTGACTTGTCATTGCAAGCAAAGGCAAAGAACAGTAAGACTACTTTTCCTGACAGCGTTTCTATTAGAAGTGTTCGTTGTGCACAGGGGCTCTTGTCACTGTAATCAACCACTAACGCATTAAAGGTGTATAAAGGTATCTCTGTATAGATACTATGTATTTGTGTGTTTAGAAAAAGATTATGCAACTTTTAAAACTGCATGCTTTCAAATAAAGAATTTAGGATGCTGAAGTTTGCTCAAAATCATGATATATACATACAGAAAGGTAGCAGCAACATATATACATATGTAAGAGTGTTTGGCAGCATACACAGGCATTAAACATAAACAAATTTGCTTTCATAATTACTAGTTGTATTTTTAATTCCTTATGTACCTATTGCAATATAAATCAATTAAAAAGACACAGCACGCTTTAAGGGGTGCACATTTCAAAGGCAGTTTTGCCAAGTAGCCATTTCCATTTCTAATGTGAGTAACAGATGCTAGCTAGTAATTTGTGGCACATAAATTATTTCAATGTTGAATGAAATTTTATAGGCTGCTGGCTGATATAATGATTCACTTTCCGACCAGTCAAGAGGAAGTAACCTTATCAGTAACTCCAATGAAAGTTTGTTTCAGGAGTTACACTGAGGAAGACACTGGTAAGGAAATTCAAAATATGAAACAATATTGGGACTTTAAAACAGGTGATCTAAAGGAATAATAACTACTGCATCTTATGGCTGAATGAGATTTTTAAGAGAGGGAATATATAGAGAGAGATTTTAAGTCATATTGCTACGGTCTGGTTTTAATATATTTTAAGAAAGTATGTTTTTAATAACATTTTCCTGGTATCAGTGGCAGCTAGCAGGCTGAGCAGCCAACTGAAATAAATTATGCCACTTGCTGTAGGCTTGAACAGAGGTAATTACTGTGCTGCAAGAGCAGAAGCATGGCAACAGACAGGAAAAAGGAGATAATTCTATGTTCTGCAAAGAACTATTTAAATCTGAATACCATAATTAAAGAATTGATATCATTATGGAGTATATTTTAGCATAAGGGCAATACAGTGCATTAGCTGGCCTAACGCTGTTATACAGCGCACTGCCATTTCCAGATCTCCATCTGAGATGGAGAGCGATCTAGATGCTTGGTGTGTGACTCAAACTAATTTTAAAGATATAATTGTGTTCTTGAAGTATATGTTCTTGTATATCATATAATGAAGGGATGCTTTTCATACTTGCTTATGACTGAAGCTGAGGATAATGACCTAGAAAAAGATGACTGCCTAGAGCATAGGGGCGGGGATTGTGCTGAGAACAGGCTAACGCAGTGGAGAGTGAGAAGGATGAAGTGGTGGAAACTGGAGTGAAACAAGGAAGAAATTACAGAAAATAAAAAGACACTAAAAAGAGTACATTTTGAATGACAAGTTTTGTTATTTTAGAAACGACGCTTGCAAGTGTTATTGTAAGGAAAGAAAGTGAAAAAAATAGTAGGTACAAATGGAATGAGATACCAAAAAAACAAACGGTTAAGGAGAAAAAGGAGGCATTACAAGCATTGTTCTTGTTGTGTAGCATGTGATGCAATATACCACCTGCAGCAAATGTTCTGTATGCACTGAAACAAAACGTGTCCTTTGAACGTATCATCTGGTGATGGCTTGGGTTTTTCCACATTCAGGTTTAATTTTCAAAGCAAGAAATTACACCTTCTGCCTAGACTTGTTTTCATTTGCATGTGGTAGGCTCTGCCTTGCAGAAGCTGGCAGGTGTGCTGTAAGTCTGTATTTCCACAGTTTTAAGGAACTTTACAAGAGTATATTTGAACACGCAACAGGGCCTTGTTGAAGGCCAAGATAAGTCCACCTTCATTGTCCTCAGAGGACTGTCAGCAATTATGATTAGTCTGTTAAAGTCATGTGGCATTTTGGTCTTCCCATCTATGCAACAATAAGCAGTCAGTAATACTAATTGTGATGAATGCCTGTTGACAAAGCATATTTGCAAAAATGACGGCAGGTATCAGGTTAGATCACACAGTAGAACATAAAATAGGTTCTGTTAAAAGCCATTTAAATCTACATAATAGACTGTAAATAAATTGAGGATTTTATTTTACTTAATTATTAATTAAATTTAGATAAACATTTATTGTTAGTTGCTATAAAAATACATTTGTTCAAATGATGCTGATGTAAAAACCTCATGGTTATAATCACAGTTTTGTTCAGTTCAAGCTTCACTCCTTTGAGTCCTTGACTTTCTTGTTATTTTAAACAGATTTTTCAAAGACAATGCTTACTGAAATACAACTAAACCCAGAGGAATTTGACTACTTGCAAGTCGGAGTGGATTCTGAAGTGACATTTTGCCTTAAAGAATTAAGGGTAAAGCAAGAACTCGTCTTGAAAAGAAAACATTTCCCATTAATTTGCATGACTTGACCAGAACAACGCAGACTGGTCCCTGCAGAATGGCCGGGGGAAGTCTTCCACCAGGCCTCCTGCCCAGCAGTAGTATTTACCAGCTGGTTGAGGATTAGCTTTAAAAACCAAGACACTGCAGAGTCCCTCGCAGTAGCCTTTGAAAGGCAAGCGAAACATTTTTAAAAGAAGAAAAATATAGTTTCCATGCTGGGCAGACACACTGTAACTGCACTGAAGAAAGCATCCTGGCCACAGCAGTTCCACACGCAGAAGCTTCTCTGGCAAAGCTCCAGGCAGCGAAGGCAAAAAATCTGTTCTAGAACCAGTAGACTTTTACCCTCTTTTTGCCAGTAAACAACAGCTGGGATAAACTTACATTCTAATATTGATCTTCTGTTTTTAAAACGGCGCTTAACCACCCACCCCTTCTTTTCAGGGCCTACTAGCGTTTTCAGAAGCTACCAGCGTCCCTGTCTCAATCCATTTTGACGTATCTGGAAAGTAGGTTTTGGAAAGCACCTGTCTAGAACTACTGCAGTTACAACTCTGCAGTCGGGTTTTGTCTGCAGGTTACTCAATGAATATTTAACTGGAACAGTACAAGAGATTTTCGTTTCGTACCAAAAGCTGTTATCTCTGATCTGCAATACAGTGTTAAGTAGTTTGTTACTACACATAAAGCATTTAACATGAGCACCAGTATTACTAAGCTAACTAATGAGCACCTACAAGTTACCTGGGCACTTCAGGTTCTCAGTCTAATGCATGCAATGATTTTATTTAGTAGTCTAAAGAAACAACACATTTTCTGTTTAAAATATTACTTTAACAGTTACATATTTAAAACTATAATTTGACTAAGTTTAATATTGTATAGCATTTGCTCACTGGAGCATTTAAATCTGCAACAGAAAGCCATCTCACATTCTTCCACAGCAAATATATTAGATTTTCAGCTTTTCAGAGAAGGCACTTTTTAATCTGTATGTATAGAATTGCATAAGCTGGATTTCTTCCGACAACTTGTGTAATTATGCATGCCAGTTTAGTCTCTGAATATTTGCATTTAGGCCAATTGCTTTCAGCATTGAAGATATGATGCTGGAAGCCAGCTTTATTTTGGCTACCTTGTCTGACATTGAAAACGAGACGGTTTCCCAGCGGCTGGAAAGGTAACGGTGGGCGTCAGGGCTGGGTGAGGGAGGCAGACTGCCTTAAGAGGATGGAAAATGGAAGTTTAAAGTTTTCCAGCCAAGTCAGGTTTAAGGTGGGAAGTGATTTGCTCATTCTTGCAGGGTATTGGTAAGCGTTGTACAGATCCTGGTGTCTTTGTTCATAGAAAAAACGCAAACTAGATGGGTTCAGGAATGTCTTAGCATCACGCACAGCAGTAAAACTTGGTGTAATGGAGAGCACTCCGTGCTAGCTTCTGCTTTCCTTTATCTCCATGGGGTTCTGTTGCAGTAGGAGGGGAAGATGCTTGTTGTGAATCTAAAGCCATAATGTTTTTCATTAAGAGAAAATAAAGGCGTTCTAACATAAAAGCCAGTTACTAACCTGACCTGCTCTCTCCAACCCAGCTCAAAGTCACACATGGGTAAATCTGAAAAAACCTCCACGGCTGAAGACAGCAACGCTGCACCAGTTCCTTCCAAAAAGCCACAGTGGAATGGAAACGCACCGAACGCAGAGTCGGCAAAACCTGCGAGTCCGTTGGCAAAAGAAGAGATTAAAAGTATTCCCAGAGTCACAAAGACAGATACGAGTGGGACAGAGGACCATGCAATGCCAGGAGAGGTGAGAGTGTCTCATTACCAGAAGGTAAGGAGGCTCCCAATCCTGATTTTAAAGTGGCAAAAGCTGCAGAAATAACCAACCCCCAAATTCTGTATCACATGCAGTTTCTTACTTCTATAATTATTGCATTTTCCAGTTTCATTCCTTGTTTTTTGGAGCAGTTTCTTATGAGAAGGATGCTGTCAGTCACACCTTCCATAGTTTAGCAACAGCTAGTGACACTGAAGAGGATTTTGGCTCCCAAGTTCTCTAGTAACACGAAGTGTTTGAATCCACCACTACTGGGGGTTGCCGTGAAAGATAAAGGTACTATTTGACTTGGTAATTGTGGAGCTGTTTCTAATTTTAGAAAGAGGTCTAATTGCAGTTCTTTAGCAAGTTAGAACTGGATGGAAACGATTTGTATTCTGAGCTTGTATGGTAAACTGTGTTTCACAAATACCTGTTCAGTCAGTCTGGAAAGTGGAAATCCTCCGCACACAGTGCCCGTTTCTTTTTTTGCAAGACAGACGTATAAAAAGGAGTATTTTATCAAAATGTTGAGTCCTTCATTAGTTCCAGCTGTGTTAGGACAGGTTAAGCATTTATTCGCTGTTGACGCTGACAACCAGCGCGGGTCATTCTGACTGTTAGCTGCTGTTGTAACGCAATATAAACTTAGGTCATGACTGACTAGATTGAGATTGGTGATGGATGTATTCTCTGGGGACACTGCTTTGGAGGGTCAGCTCTCCACTACCTTCTCACTAGAGAGTTCAAATTGCGTTATCGCTTCAGGCAAATTAAGCTGCTGTTGTGAAGTTGAGTGCTGGAAAAATAAACCCACCCACCCTGGCATAGCCACACGTATCCTCGCTAGAGGATAGCTGGTATTTTTACAGAAAGGTTGTAGAGCTAGCATTTACCTGAATAGTCAAAGCTGTCATAGAAATGCATTTAAAAAATAAAAGTGATATGCTTGAAAGTATGAGTTTAAGAGCCTTTTGTGTTTCAGACTTCCATTCTTCTCTTCCCTCTCCCCACCCCGTCATTTGGATGCAGGTTTGAGAAGACTCTGCGAGGGTCTGAGCAAGAGCCCGACACCGCAAGTACTGGTGGCGGCGCATCTTGGCACCACCAGCGACATCACTGCGTTAACAAACAGAGGTTTTGCAGTCAACTTTACTTTAAAAAACACATTTTAGTATAAATACTATATTTATTAAATATCTTTACAATTCATTTAAATGTATTTACAGAACTATTCCTGCATAAGTTATACCTCAGACATGAAATTCACATAATTGCCTCTTAGGTAAGCATAGATGATAGTCTCATTTTAACAACAACAAAAAAAGCATCCTCATTAGATACAGACTCAGAGTTGCTCCATTATTTCAGCTATCTTTGTCAGAAACTACTTCATACAGTGAGTTTCTACACACACAGTCTTTTTTTTTCCCTGGGGAAAGGGTATCTGTTACCGAGAGATGGAGATTCCATCACAAAACCCTTCACATCTTTGCCAGACCTTCGCCTCTCCCTTCTCCTTGACTCAGTCCTAACTGCCTGGTCCCAAAAGCTGATTTTTGTTTTGGTGGTTTTTTTTCGGCTGTACATTCTTCAAACATAAAGAAAGTACATTGAGAGGGAAACTGTATGTTGCAGGTCTCCCAAAGATAGCCATAAAAGTAGCAAGGAACCACAGAGTTTTCCCAATTTACCACACCTGTGCCCTGTTTTACCCAGTAATGCTGCTGCAGAAATCCCAACTCCTGCCCCTCCTGTCACATGTTACTGGTATACAAAACTCTTCCTTTTCCTCCAGCTCACCGCTCCCAAAAACACAGACACACACAATCCCTCTCTGCAGCAGCCAAAAGTCAGCCTGTGCCCTGCTCACACACACTTCCATGCCACAGAACACCTTTCTTGTACATTTCTCTCATGAATAGTCCTAATTCCTAGGAAGTGTTACTGCTTCATGCATCATTTAAAATTATTGATAGTATGGGCCCTGTCATTTCCTTTTCCAAAAAATCTGTTGTGCGCAGACAGCTTAAGTTCATAGGAAGAAATTAGGTTTGATATGTTTAGAGTGCACATCTTTAAAAAAAAAAAAACAAACCCAAAAACAATCAAGCATGTGATAAAAATATCAATTCTTTATAATACAGTATTGCTTTATAAACAGATGGAAAAGCTATAAGCTTTACTGGTCTTTGGTGTGCCTGGTGAGGGATAAACTCATGATTTGTAAATCAAAAATCCAAATTTGTTCTTTATTAACAACAACAACAAAAAAAACACGATGCGATACGAGGCCAATGGCTTTGCAGACACTGCTCAGCTAGGAGTGGCTCTAACCCAGAGCGCCAGGCAGCGCAGCTCTGCTGCGGAGCAGGCGGCTGCGTCTCGCCACTCGGGGCTTGCGGACCCCGGCCCAGCGCCCAGAACCTCGGGCAGGGAAAGCGGCCTCACCCTGCTCCTCTACCCGAGCCACGTACAGCTCCGAGCATGTAGTTCTAGAAAGGGGGGAAAAAAATAACAAGGGCTGGGGGATGAGTGTACTGAGAGCGAGGGGTCAGAGTGCAATGCAGCCCAGGTCTGCAGGGGCATCATTTTAAGGTTAAGTTCAAGGGAAAGAATAATTGATCAAATCTGCTCTAATCAAGAAGCATGATAGTAAATACTGGAGAATAAAATGTAAAGACACCCAGATTTCAGAGAGGAAGCCCCCTCCCAAATGCTGGAAACAAAGCCCTGTACTGCAGCGTGAATACATTCCTTCTAACGAGACAGCTAGATACAGCTTGTTCAGTTTTAAAAAACACCACGGACTGACAGTTTGTGCAAAGTTATCCACCGCTGGCTGTTCCATGGATCGCAGAACTAATTAATTTTTCTTCATCAATATAATCCTCCCCATACCCTCACCAAAATAGTATTTTGGTCAAGTTAGGGTAGTTAAGGCATTTTGACAAGTAATTACAAGGTGATTTAAAATAGATAGCTAACATTATGCCAATTTAGGAATAGCAGATAAATTACCGAAGAGCTTCCAAATTAATCACTTATAATAAATGAAATGCCTGTTACAAGCATGATGCATTGAAATATAGTAAAATGACATGTACATGGTACATGTTAAATGATCTTAAATAAAAGCTTGACATAGTTACGCAAATATACAGTACAAGTCCACAAAAATTCTTTAAACAAGTTGAGGTAACCTCAAACTTAAACAGTTGTAATACAATAAACCAGGTAGTAAAAATCTCCTTCTGAGAGCAGGTAAGATTACTTACTGACCAAGTTTAACTGCACTCCCCTAAACAGCAACATTACCCGACTTTTTATATATAAAAACATGGCTTTAATTTATTTCTACATACTTTTCTACCAGCAAAAAAGTTAATGAAAAACTGACCAAAAATATATATATCTTTACAGCTATCAGCTTTTTGTATGAACCTCAGGAAAGGAAAAGGAAAGCTTGCTGGAACAGGGGGAACGAATGTGAGCTACTGTAATTCAAAAGGAAATGTGATATTGCAAAGTGGCTGTTAGGTAACTGTAAACATCATTAAGGTTCATTCCAAAAACCCTAAACTTTAGTTACTGAAATGTAAGTTTTGCTGATTATTCATTAAAAGTTTCCATTTACGTACTTCTTGCTGCTGCCACAGCACAAGTAAAGAGGTGCTCGTTTGAGTGGGAAAGATAAGGATCAACTGGACTTAAACTGGTGCAGCATATTCTGTTCTACCCAAGCGAGAATGGCAATTATGAACAGAAATTATGTTTCATTAACAACAGAATTATCTACCAAAAGTGAAGACGTTCAGAGTTGAGGATGATCTGTCCCTTGTGCAACCTCCCACTGCAGCATTTACACTGTATCATCCCACGCTGGTGAGATGGGTTAAAATGCTGAAAGGACCTCAACTTTGGCCAGTTCGGCTTTTTGAGACTGAGTTAAAATTGTTGATTTAAAAAAAAAAAAAAAATTTAAAAAAAGTTATCCACAGCCAAAACATCCAGATACCAGGCCCATTATGGACGAATGATCTGCAGAACTTTTAAGATCACAGTTAAGCACCTGAAATCACAAAACACATTTGCATCCATATAACTTGAACTAAGTATGTTTTTTGAAATTTCATACTAGAAAAGGCTCCTAGGCTGACACCACGTATGGCAAGAGCAGAATGTTTACAGCAGTTATAAACCTCCTGAAAACTGGAGCTTAGAAACACGAAACCTCAGCTATCACTGGAACAAGACTATGCTTATGAAACTGTGTTCTCTAACATACCCCGTAATGAACAGTGAATGTTTTTAGTAGATAGAGTAATATGCCCTCTGCTAGAGGCTTTATCTATTGAATCTAGTCTGAAAGATGAGAAACCAATTCTACTCCTTCGAAAGTATGTCACATTTCCGTGGGATTGATCCTCCTCCCTTTAAGGACAATGACTAAGCTCTGCACGACATGCTTCAAGCCTTGAGCTTCTTCGTTTCTCGCTGGCGGACAGAGGCCAGCGTACTACGCGTGGTTCTTCACAAGGACTTCAGTTGTGCCTCAAGACAGGCAACGAGCTCGAGAACGGGCTGCTGAGATCAGCGGCAAAGGAAGAAAGCAATCCTGCCAGCAGGAAACCGTACGTGTGAAGCTAGGAGCTCGGGGCTAACAAAAACCTCAGAAGCTGACACTCCGGGCAGATCAGTCTGTGTACTCGGCTACAATAGAAAGAAGGACGGTGATGTCATCTGGTTTTCCCCCTGTAATATAAGAAAAGTAAAACTATGTCATCAAACCACAGTGGGTCATCTTCTTCTAATCTGTGACATTCCCCCACGGAAAGCTCTTTTAAAAACAGTTTTGAATATTTACACTGTTTTGTGTAGACACAACAACTCTGCTTCCTCCCTCTCCTTCCCAAAACACAATGGCATTTAACACAGCAAAAGAGCGCTCTCCTTCAAAGCTACACTGAGATCGCAAACTGTCAGAGGAGCGCAGAACCTTGAACATTGTTGTTAGCCAGCAGAGAAGAAAGCCTGTTTTCTAGCAGACTATTTATTTATTTTATAAAAGTACAAAACCCCTGCCTGCTTTGTTACAAGCAAGCTGCAATAAAGTCAGCATCTTCTCAGGAATTTCTACTGTAAATCAAACACCTCTTAGCACCTTCTCCAGCACTGTATTACCACATATCTACTTTACTACTTAACATTTTTAGTAGTCGCTTTTCAAACCTCAACAGCTAAAGCAGTGAGGTTTAAAAAACAGTGAAATCCTACAGAAATGGCTCAAAGGAGAGGTATTTGGGTACGCAGTCCTTTGGACTCGGGAGATCTGCAGTTTCATTACTGAGTGACCGAGCTCTGTAGCAGCACGGAGCCCAAGCTTTACAGCTACTGTCTCTACCTTTAGGAAAGACGCTTAAGGGTCCTGCAGGAAATCCTGCCCTTCTGATACAGAGATAACAAGAACCATCTTGACTAGCAGAATTTCATTTATTTAAAAAAGGAAAAAAAAAAAAAAAAAAAAGAAGAAAGGTGTTTGACAAGACTCTGAACTCTGCCAGGTGTCAGTATCCTTCTACAGCATAGGAAATAGAACCGGCAGAGAGATCAGGTCAGGGATGCTAATGGTACAAAGGTCAGAAAAACAAAAAAAAAACCAACATCAAAGAGTGGGCAGAACCTCGACCACAAAGCATCAATAATAGAAGACCTTAAAAAAAAAACACAACACAACAAAAACCCAAACACCACCCACACACCCAAATCTAGGGAACAAGTCAAGTACAGTTCCCTAAGAGCCTGGAGAACTTGTGTCAGGCAGGATTCCTGGGGCAGGAGTGTACATAGTAGATTTAAAAAAATAAAATAAAAAAAAAAAATCAGTGCACTGCGTTCTCTGCATTCCAGTTGCTTCCCCACAGGAGGCTTCTAATCAGCCGGGGGCTGGGATGACCTGCGTCAGGAGCTGGGGTCCTTGCCAAACCCAGCGCGCCTGCTTGGCACTCTACTGCCAACCACATTTCTTAATGCTCTGTTCTCCTATCAGATTTTGGAACAACAAAACTTCACTTTGCTTAGGATTTCTCAAAGACAGCAGGAGTGGGAGGAGGAGGAAAAAAAAAATCTTACCTCTCACATTCAATCCATTGTCACATGCAAACTGTGCGAACGGCGACATGTAAGTGGGATCATATGCCAGCTCGTGAGCTTGCTCAGCAATGCTTCTTGCAGTCTGCTGTATGCTCTCATAGTTGGAGTTCTAAATTAAAAAGGAAAAAAGTTTATTCTTACAAGAAAGTCTACTGGTAGTTGTTTTGCTGATGCGTGTCAGTTTTGTAGATCCCTGACCTCTCTCTCACAGATTAGGGCATTAGTTATCACCTCCTCCTCCAAATGGAACCCTCACCACCTTTTAGGCTTTATAAATTTGGGTTAGAACTACAAATCTTCACAACTGAAGTCCAGACCTGTTCCCCACCAGCAGCTACAAGACTTGGTTTTGGAGGATTTGCAGAATTTAGAAACTTAGAAGATGAATACTCAAAACAGACTGAACAGTAGAAGGGAAGCAGGACATCTGATAGCTATGCCAGCCCGTCACACTGGGAGAACCATCCTTTCTGCACAAAGTAGGCTCTGTTGAAGTAATTATGTTTTACCTTGAATGGGAAGTCTTACTTCTCTGACCCTCCTACCCAAATCGAAAAGAGCACACTTGGGGAGAAGGGGCACTTTAAAAGTTGGATGAGGAAAAAAACCTTCTTGAGCATGCAAACTTTCTACACACCGCATTTTAAGTGCCATTTTTTCCCCCCTGTTTCAGTAACTCTGCTGCTTTACTCCCAGACTTTTCTTCCTCAAGCTAACATGACACAACGACCGCCACTCTTTTTGTTTGTTACCATTTTAAAATGCCTTGTCATTTCAAGAGTCTTCCCTGCAGTTTGGGGAATTAACAGGCATTTACATGATTAACTTTCGGCTGAACCTCACGGGGAACTTCAACGCCTTTCCCAAACACGCCAAAAGGTGGAGCTCAACTTTCCTCCATGAGGGAATTCCCTCTCCAGTGTCCACCCAGGCTAACATTAGGTCCACGCAGCAGAAGGAAGGTGGAAGTAGAGCAGACAGAGGTAGGACCTGGCTATAGCGTAAGTAACAGCCGCGCAGGTTAGCGACCAGCCCGCCAGGCCCTTCCAAACCGTGACACATCTTCAGTGCTGTCACTGCCTTTGCTAGCCAGATTAACGCCGCTGATGGCTTGTGCTGCAGTACAGTCACATTTTGCATTTCACAGCTATATGCTTCTCACTTTGAGACCCAAATACTGCACCGAGAAGAGGGGAGAGTCATCGGGGGGGACTGCAGAGAGGGGGAAGCTCAAGAATCTGCCTGCTGGGCAGAGAGAGGCACCTCAGACATTGTGGCTGAAAGGACCCGTTCCCTGTCTGACACCACCTTTCAGTTATGTAGCTGCAGGATAAGAGCAGGCAAATTTTTTTTTTTAAAACCGCACTATAATTCTACATGTTAACCTTATTTGCATTTCATAACATCAAAATAGTTTCCTCAGGGAGGTTATACATATTGATACCTCCTAAGTATACTTTCCTTTCTGTAAGTAAATAGCCTTAAGCTAAATGTTCTCATCCGAATTAAAATATCTTAATGTATTTTTACTAGCTAAAGAGAACGTTTGTGGCCACTAACGTGGAAAAGCTGCCATGAAGTTTTTTTACAAAACATTAAAGAATTTCAAGCACATGCAACCCACAATTCAGACAGCCCATACTACTTTACAATTACTGTTTTATAAGCCTTCAGAAAAGCTTCAAATTATTTTTAAGTATACAGCTCACTCCCTCAAATAACCTGTAAGAGAAAGCTGTATTTTCATGTATATCATCTACAAACTGCAAGTACGGATAAAACACAATGTGTGAGCAGCTGGCCAGGGGCAATGCCTGCTAGTGAGCATCTCCCCCTTCCCCTCACCAGTCAGTGACACGGTACCAGCTGCTAGAGGGGAAATTTATGCCCAAGCTGCTGCTTCTGGATTCAGGCTGGATGCAGATCCAAGAGATAGCACTTTGGGCTCAACACCCCTTTCTGCTGCTCATGTGCAGTATTAGCTGCAAGGTCTCCAAACGATAGCACTTTGTGCTGGGTCTTTTATATACAATAGGGAAGTTAAGTGCATCAAAAGTAAGGGCAGTAACTATGAGGGATAAGCAGTGCAAAAGATGTGAGAGATTCAGAATACACACCCCTACCTTCAGCTTTTTTAACTCCTGCAGAATCATGTAGTCAGGCATGTTGTCAAACAGTCCGTCTGTTGCAGTCAAAATAATGTCTCCAAGTTGGACATCAAAAGAAGTACTATCAGCAGCATCGGGGCTGTGAAGATGACAGATATGTTAAAGAAAAGGACTCCAGCTTTCACTAAGGCACCAAGCAATGTCAAACCAGCACGCCAACAGCTTTTGTAATTCACTACTGTTACATGTTTTTCTGCAAAAGAAAGATATAATCACTAACTGTGAAGCTTGTGCACCAGGATCACTTGTCAAGAAAGCTACAACAGAAGAACTGTGATTGCAAACAGGTACTGTTCCAGCTATTCCACAAAGGATCTGCATTTAAAATTCCCAGATGAACAATCCTGCCATCTAATCTGCTTCACAAGTGTATCTCCATGGAAACCATTAAGTAGAATGGCAGCTCGGGGCTTCCTTCTCACTCATCTTAAATATGTAAGAGAGCTATACTTGAAAGGACAATTCATAACAGGAACGGCCAAAACACTTAGGGATCCTCAATCACTTTCTAGTGCAATGGAATATGAAACATGTCTAGAAATCGCTACCAGGAGACCACAGCCTATTTAGGTCTATTTATGTCTAATAAATTACACAATACCAAGAGGAGAAAATACCCACTTTGGCATTGAATATTGCTGCAAAATCCGATTCTCAGAAGCAGCATAATGACAAACCCTTCATTTTTAAAGATTCTTCAGGGGTCTTTAAAAGGGAGAAACTGCTGCATCCCATGCCATTTGGCTATGCCAAAAAGCAGAAAAGCTACTTTGCTCAACTGATTTGTAGCTTCAGGCAGGTTAATGGAGTTAAGATTGCCTGCCTATTCCCATATATAGACAAATTTAACATTTAACTGGGACAACAAATTAAAGAAAAAAGTACTGGAGGAGCATTTAGACAACACAGGAGTACTAATTAACGTCAAGAACAGTGCAGAAACTAGCCAGAAAGCTATAATCATGATTCAGAACTGAAGTGTGGGAGCTTATTTATCTTGCGCTTTCCTTATTATGTGATGACTCAGATTGCTTTCCTGACTTGCGCTAGACATTATCAATTATCCTTGTGCTTTCGGTTTTTTTGTCTTCCCACAGATGGCACAGAATCTCAGAAAAATTAAGATTTTTATAGTTCTGGAATTTCAAACAATCATTTAATTTTAGTCTAATAAAGAGGTTAGATTATTTAAAGTTCTGATTTCAGAGTTCTACCCTAGCTTCCTCTCTGCAGTCTTATGATGAAGTAATAAACACACATGCAAGAATGCTCAGGAGTTTCAACAACTTCAACATTTTCAAAAAGAGCTATTTTAGCATTCAAAGTTATAACCCTTAGAATGCTTTCAGTATCAAGGCCGATGCAGTATCCAAAACTTAAAATGCCTATTGCATACTATGGTCACTCTTTGAAGAACCCTTTCTCATACTCCTGTATTCAGAAGGGGTGTATCACTTTAATAAATGTACAATCATTGATCTGAGAGATGTATTTTACATCATATTTGAAAGCTGATTTTTTTAAAAATATGTATTTTATTTTACTGGTGAGACTTCACGAAGCCAGAGGATGGATCAGCCTGACAGTCTTAGGGGAAAACACAAGTACAAGTCTACCTTTGAAACGACTCATTTCTGTGAACAGATTGTCCTTTCCTAACACTCTCATTTCCCAGCTTTTGTTTTTGGTGTTCCGCCAGTTTTGGTTTTGGTTTTTTTTTTTTTTTTTTTGCTCGTTTTGATCAGCTACAATATGCTGCGGGAAACACTGCGATGTGGAAACACAAGTTACAGTCACATGTCCCTCTGCTCTATTCTTCAAGGACTTGCTACCTCCCTGCCAAGATATCTAAATTAGCGTGCTCCAAACCAGTCTCAAGAGAGTACAGACAGGGACTGGGGATGAAAGCCACTGATAAGACAAGCCACTCAAGCAGGATGACCGGTGCGTACACCCGCCACAGTCTTGTTACAGTGGCTTTATTGAGTAATGTCTTTCCATGGGTCAGAACATGCCTACTGCACCCCACAGACTATGGAATATGCCACTGTGAATGAATAACCACTAATCCAATAAATCTGGACTGTGCAACAGCATACAAAATTGGTTAAGCACAAGGTGAGAAATGTTTGTATTACCTTATAGACAGCAGGGCTGGTATAAGACCCTTGGGCTGGATATATACGTAAATCCCACGTGCTATGCTGCAAAGCTCTATACAAAGAACACTGTAGCAGCAAAACTGCAACCTTTCAGGAGTTGATCACCTACACAGATTAAAAATTTAAGATCCTCCTCCATCTTACCTGTCACTCAAGACAACTCCTTCTGCTTCTGGTGGAGCTATCGACAGTTGGAACGGAGTGTTGAAGTAATGCTGCTGCTCATCAGATCGATGTACTACTTCTCCTCCTCTGACTACCAAAAATCCAGAATCTCCCAAGTTGGCCGTATGTAAACGATGACTTGTTCTGTCCAGAACTACTATACAAGCTGTACTGCTTCCTGGAAGCAAACACAGCATGGTACCTGGAGTTAGCCTTACAGAAATTGCTTATTCTTACACTGATTTGAATCATAGTCCAGTTATTCAAATGTTTTTCAAAGCTTAAAAATCAGAAGTGGAAACACTCAATAATGCCAAAATTAATATACATTTAAAATAGCAAAATGCTAAAAATCTTTGCAACACAAACTATGATTTTTGTGTAGAACTTACTTTTCCTGCTTTGATTTTGGTAAACACATTATGCTGACAAATACCTGTTTTGTTCCACTTTATTTACAGCTTTCCATCCCAACATATGTCAGCACATTCTGCTATAGGACTGGATTTACAGAAGTCACATAAAATACTGAAATTCCAAAATCATTGAGATAATAGAATTCTAGAAGCATCCATACAGTGCTAGGTGCTCTCCACACATTTTCACTCATCAGCTGTAAACAAACCATGCCAAGTAAATACCTAATTGCAAGCGGTTCTTAGGTATTGTTCCACTACTCAGAGCATTTAAACACTTTTCTTCATAGTACGGCTCTGTAGAGCTATCTTCATATTTTAAAAAAAGTAATTCTGTCATATCTTCAGGATACTAACTCCACCATTTTAAAGAAAATATGCTTCAGAGACAAATACTATTCCAGATTAGAGTAAGACAGAACGGACACAGATCTACTTGTCAACCGTGCTCAGAACTATCCCAGCCATGCTTGAGGGCACTGAGGAATTCTTGATTCATTCACTGGGAAGTAGCCACCAACTGTGCCTGGTTGCAAGCCACAAAAATAACTGTATTGCAAAGATACCCATCCACAGACTAAGCCCTTCACAGCAAACAGCAATCACTTAGTTTCTGCAAATCGGACAGCACATCCACCAACAGCTAAAGCATTTCTTCTTGACTCCTGCCTCTAACGTACAGGCTGGTGAATAGTCTTCATCTTCTATCCTAACGTCCTTCCAGCAGAAGTTTCCAAGCACAGCTACATGTTGGACAGACCACAAGCTTGCCATGAGCTAAACTTGTAGTCAGGCTTGCTACTGCACAAGTCCAGCTGGCATCACCTATTCCAGAAGTTTCCCTTTCTAATCCAGGGAGTTCCCTGCAATACACTTGCACTTAATTTGTTCTCTAGTGAATATACAGGACCTTCTCCGCTCCTGGTGGATGGCAAGTCAAAGCAGTATCTTAGGAAAAATTCAGATTTTATTTGTGACAGTGTCCAAGATTGTTCTGCAGTACAAGAATAGCGTTGAAATAAATGGCACAGTTTCCTCCCACTCCAGTTTTACTTTAAAATATTTGCTACATTAAATTCTGATGAACCAAGTATCAAGACTTAAAGCACAACAGCAAGGAAAAGTTATTGCCTAATGAATCCTCCTGAATGAAGTCCTCTCCCTTCGCTTTATTTTAAATAAACTCTAAATGCTCATTGCTGTGCTAATTCCAGCGTTCCATTTCGACTTCCAGAAATACTGTTCTCTGTTAAAGGAGAAACACTAAGGATCATTAGTTTCAAATTCTGACTCTATTAGCAGAGCGTAACTAGGAGGCCATGTGTGGAATGCAGATCTTGTGACTCAGCATATGCTGCTTTTCAGAATTCGAAAGGTCAAGCCAAGCAGGACTGCCTCCGTCTACAAAGCCGCTATGAGAGCTCTCACCAGTGGCCCACTTTGTAGATCACTTACAGCTACATCTGCTTTGCACAAATAAGCACTATTAAACGCACAAAATCCTAATGTAATTACTGACCACTGCTATTTTGGTGATACTTAAGGTCACTTCTGAGGTTCGAACCTATTCTTTAGGCATATAATGCAAGAAACATCTGTTCCGAAGCTCAGCAGACAAGTTAAATATAGCATACACAGCACTCTTCTGGCACAGAAGTTGAAGGTCAGGTGAGAAGCATGCATATCATGCAGGGTAACACTTTCTTGGTGCATAAGAGGTCACATGCCCTTTAGAAAAGTATTCTGTTTTCAAGGTTGTCAGCTGAGGCCAAATGTTGCCTCTGTATCTGCTCACCATTCCCAAGGCAGCTGGATGCCCCGTCTAAAATCAACTTTGACACAGCATATGCTAAGCATCTACTCCAGTTTGCTTTCAAAAAAGATCTGTAATGATTCCCCCACAAAGAATTATGAAAGTAATATAGGGTACCAGTAATTGTATGATATAAACTACTTCAGTCAACCCATTAGGTTGTTCAGTGGACATAAAAGGCAACAGGAGCAGTAGAACAAGGAAAGAGCAGAACTGCATCCAATTATCGTCAGAAAATATTTTTGCTTGCATAGCTTAAGCAAAGCGCCACAACCACCCATCAACGGAGAACAGTTATTTATACATAACAGTGAGTGCACATGCCATAGCGTATTCTGCTGCAGAACTCATTTTGCAAATGCTCTGCGAGCACTGGTGTATTACCACCCTTCACACACACAGGCTCTTTTGCCTTTTATTTTTATTGCATACACACACAAACATTGCCTGCCTTACTGAATGAATGAGGACAGTTTTTAAACACACAAGAGAAAATAAGGATGCTACCAATACAACTACATTTCTGTATTTTTTGGTTAATTACGAGAAGATAACGGTCTACAAATTTGTTGTAGAAGCAGACAACAGATTTAAGCAATCTTGACCAAGTATATGTCTAGATAACATACAACACGGATCTAATTTATGGGTTTTTGCTCTCTTACCAAGCAAAGGTACTTTGTTCTGCAGCAGCTCACAATAACCTGCGGTGAGAATCCCAACAGGATTACTTGGTACAAACCGTCCTTCTTTTACTAAACGTTCACATGTTCGCATTAGAGTCCCTGAGAACTGAGAAGGGTCAACCCCATAGTCTCTCCAGCCACCTACACCATCTGCTACCCCTAGAAGAAAACAGAGAATGAGAGTTATACAAAAAGAAATGGTTTCCAAAGCAAGGTTTTTAATTCTCAACATCACTTACCGTATTCAGCAACTAAAAAGTAGGACATAGCACCTGCTTGAAAAGCATTTTTGATTAAGAGAAAAAAATTCTGAGCGTTTTTAAGATAACTTCTGACATCAGCTCCTAGACAAATCTCTAAGTATTATAATTCATCTGAATTGTTGAAGAGAAGGCAAAAGTCCAATGCTGAGAACTCTGTGAGGAGGCTGACTTCACTAAAGCACAACTAATGGGGAATTTGGGGGGAAGCAGGAGGATTCAATCACATTAATTTTTGATTAGCCCATTAAAAATGAAGAAGAGTTTCTACTGGTTTTAAATATGAAGGTTAAGATTTTAAATAGGACAGAAGTGATAAAGAAACTTCTTCACTACTCAGTGGCCCAAAGTTCTTTTTCAAGCTACTTGCTCATCTGAAGGATAATGCTTTCTAATTGGGAATATCAATTTCCGCAGAAACTAAACTTCTATTTTCAAAGCATGTTCAAAAAAAACATGTGAGCAACAGAATGCTGGGACCTAGCTCTGCAAGGATAGTGTGTTGCCTACAGCTTCAGTCAAGCAAGAGAATGGGAACTGCCTATGATCCAGTCAATTTTCATGCAGTTATTTAAAACAACCTAGATATCAGAAAATTAGACCAATTCTGCCAAAGCTTGGGAAGCTTCTGAGCAACTGCAGAGGCAAATAGTGAAGATGCACATAGAAAAGGGGAATGGTCAGAGGTGGATAAGCAGCAGATATGATATTCTACTGCCCATTTGGCTAAATTATTTTGAACTTTCTCAACTAGCTTTAACAACAAAAGTAAAATACTGTCTGAAGGTATTATTTAAGGGATAAAAATATTGCTATTGGAAGTTTTTCCAAAAATCTTTTTGATCCTCAGCAGGTAAGGGACTAACCATTTCAAGCACAGGTTTCTGTAACATAATAAAGCTAAAATAGTATGTTCACGACAAAAAGCACAAAGAGCCAATTTCAGAGCTCAGCTTGTGCTGAAGAACAACAGTCTCACAAAAATGCTGCTATTAGCAAAGGCATGAAAGTTTGACTGAGAAGGTAAAACTAAGTTTGACTCATCTACAAATGCCCTTCACATGGGACACCATCTGAAACTGAGACGGAAGGTTTAGAGCCGACCTTGGCATGAACTATAATCTGACAGGAGGTTATAGCCAGATTCTGAACAGCCTATCAACATTAATCAGATTTCTCCCAAAAATAGTGCACAACCTTTTAGACACCTGCTTTGTCCTTTCTTAGAAGAACGCTATAGGAAGGCAAATCCCTGTATTCACCTCTTCAGACTAGATCCTGGGAAGAAGCTCATGCAAAAGCAACCCTGGCATTCTCAGAAATGCCTTTTCTGATTTCTTCAAGAACAAATTAAACCTCTCTCTTTACAGGTCCCACAACTTCAGGTTAATACTGGATTAACCCTTTGCTTTCTGCTGCCACGCAGACAAGTCTAGAATAAGATATTATTAAGAAAAAGTTCTAGATCCAGAATTTGAAATAGAAACTAAGCTGCAGTTCAGATGATGATGCTTGCTTTACATGAAGTTATCAGACGAGGGACTTTTTTCCCTTTAAGATGAACACAATCCAGATGTACTTTTGCTAGCTGACTACAGCCACTTCACTGACAACAGGGTTAATGCAATGAAAAGATGATGTTTGACAAGTACTGTCCAAAGATTTTGGCTCCTAACGTGGTTACAAAGCAAGCTTGTCACAAGTTACAGAGCTCCCTCAAGTCATCAGTCAACCATTTTTGCATTAGTCTTCTTGGGAAATATTTAAACAGAAACACTACAGCATTAGTATACGGTACAAGAAAGCCGTCCTAGCAAGCACCTGATAGGGTTCATTATTAAAACCCATTTAAATTTTTAAAGCAAAAATAAGAGTATGCCACCTGATGTTCTTTGCTCACTTCTCACTCCAGGCAGGAAATCTGAATCCGTAATCATGGCAGCACACTTCACGCTCTATCCTGAGCCATGAAATGGCTTTGTCTGTCTGCCTTCCTATCTGCTTTTTGCAAGCTATAAACAGCTTTAAGTACATTCTGCCAGTGCCTTCCAAAACAATCATCCTCTAGACAGTCCACAAGTAGGTCCTCTGACTTAGCTTTCTACCACACTTAAGGGAACAGATTGTCTGCTTAAGAATCAGCATTCCTTTCCCATCGCCAGCACAGAAGCATACGGGACCATCGCACTCACGGGCGGGCCGCGGCGTACGCTTTCACTGTAACACCCCAGCTCACTAACTCATGTACCACCACTGGCATCCATTTCTTGTCCTTGCCAAAAATGGACAATGTCGGGGTTTTTTTTTTTTTGCAAAGGTTTGGTGGCCCCCCCCCCCTTTTTTTTTTAAAACTGTATCTCTTAAAGATGACTGGCCAGTTCATTTAATTTAAGCTAAATGACCCTGTTGGCTCCCAAAGCATGGTTCATGGACCTTCCTCCCGCTCCAGCAATTACTGCTGCCATCGAGATCAATGGCAGTACGCAGGCAAAGCACATTCAAGAAGCCCTATACCACACAGTGCCACCTAGAAGACATCCACCTTTATTGTTTTTGCCTTAAAAGAAGATTTTTACATTCCTCAAGATCTTCAGCCATCCTGTCCTACCTTCAGCACGGTTTTAAAATAAAAACTGTCTTTACATTCTGCATTCTCAATATCAACTAAACAGTTTTATGGGACAGGAATATCTGATTTTAAAACAGATTGAATATACTGAAATATATGAAATGAAAATGAGAATAAAATTTAAGAAAACTTTGTGATATTTGATATACAGCAATCAAGGAGCAAAACTATTTGTGAGTTATTTCAAAATCCAGAAATAGCAAGAACCAAAAACTCAACTCATAAATGGACTAATTTTTATGTAATAACATGCTTTCCCTCTGTCATGAAAGGAAAATTCAAAAGGTACTGCTATTGGCACTATCACTGCCAAGGATTACGCCAAGCTCTATTCATTTAGATTATCTTTGTTTCCATCAAACTCAAAAAAAAAAAGCATATATTCAAAATAACTACTGCTTTAACAAGTGAAAAAGATTACTCAGGTTTTCATTTTCTCATATTTCACCATAAAACATTAAATATTGTCTTCCAACAGCCACCATTTAACTTAAAATAACCGTCTAACAAATTAGTAATCACAGGACAGTTAAGAAACTGCATGGCCGAGAAGAATTGCTGCAATCAAACTGTACAGTCCTTGATTTTTTCCAAGCTATTCAGTAAATCAGAAAATAAATTTTATAGAAAGAATATTTCTTTGGATATTCCCTGTTCAAGCCTACACAGAAGTTACACAAATGTCCATGTGACATAGTGAAATGCCTGTGGCTAGATGAACAACCGCTGTAAATAAAGCAATTGAAAATTTCACAATAAATTACTTCAAAAGAATAAATGCTTCTCAAGTATTTAACTATATTACGGAAACCTTTCAGAATCTTTGAGAGTTGGCACTCCACTACACCACCTTCTGCTGGAAAGTACACAAATACTACTGCCAGATTAAATACTCGCTGCATGTGTCAGTCCAAAAACTGGCTCTTTCCAACTTAATGATTCCATGTATCAAGATCTCTCACAGAGGGACAGTTGTAACTAAGTTTCAAGAGGAACCACAAGTGACTGATGCTGCGGCATTGAAACTGAGGAAGATACCGACACTGAAACTTGTTAAAATTTATTTCAAAATGCTAAAAGCACCTGGGATAAAACACTAGTTGAAATGCAAGCGTAAAATTGTTTTGACTGCCAACACGTCAGGTAAACTGCAGAAGCTCAGGAACAGCCAGCCAGTGCTGAGACTAGTAATTTGTGCTTTTCACCGCACGCTTTTCTAAGTCAGATCCAGATGTTCCATCTAGTTCAGAGCAAATACAAAATGAACAGGCTTAAGTTCAGAACAAACCCACGATATTAATCAAACCCTGCTTAATATAAATAGCATTATGAGTGGAAGTTCTGGTTTGCTGGCAAACTAACCTACCCATGGTCAGAGTCCAAGAGTATTGCCCTGTCTCAAAAATCTCTTGAAAGATGGACACTTTCAAACATTGCATCAGCTAAGAATAATCACACACAGAAGCACCAGGCAGGCACAAGTGTGCCAGGAGGAATTGTTTTTGCACACAGCTAACTTTAAGGCATTCAACGCATCCTGCTGA